AATTAGTTCGGAAGAAATGTTTTAAAATCGAACATCCAGACTATACTACACTAGTGTATATCAAATTAGGCCTGTGGTCTTTACATAAAACAGTATTATTAAAATATCTTTTATATTCTCAAACAAACATAAACATCTTTATAATTCTATTAGCAAAACTGTGTAAAGCAACACTTTTTGAATTGCTAAGTACGATAATTTTATTTTATTGATTATAAAGAGGTTTATTTATTCCTCTATTTTATCTAATATGAAAGATCCGACATCAATAAATCTGTTACTCTTTGGAATATCCAATTACTGATGTCTACAAGCATACAAAAATAAGCAAAGTAAAGCATTTGAAATTAACCTAACAATAAACGAAACAAATCAGTTTATGAAAATGCAGTACTAATCCATTTTTTGGAAAATAATCAAAATTAAACATCTGTTAGGTCTTAAAATAAACTAGAATAGTCTAGTTGAAGTGGATTTTTTTTTATATTTGATTGGATAAATTTTATTTTTAACTACTCTATTACTACTAAGGGTATCGTCAATAACAATAGAAACACCACATCCCTTTGGATGGAGTGAACATGATATAGATGAAATGATATGCATCGATATATATCTTAAAAACGAAAATCTACTTCCAAACTCATTATCTTCGTAAAGTTAATGTGTTACATATTAACATAATTTTCTTGATACTAAGTATTCTCATACTTTCATGTTCAAAGTTTTAACGATTACGGAGATCCAAATACTCTGCAGACTATTCAGGGTATTATATAAAGCATATAAGTATTTTATTGTATCGCAATAGAAATTTGGCCATTTGGAAACAAAAATAAAAAATAGTAATTAGGAAGATACAGTTCCAAATACAGTTGAATTTTAATTTTCAGAGATCAAAAGGAGTATAGAGAAGTAGGGATGGTATTGTTCTTCGTAGTTACAAAAGAAGAGAAATAACACAATAACACATAAGGTGAGTACGTAAGTATATTATTTATTTAATATTTAATATTTACAAATAATATCCTAATATATTAAAATAAATTAAGAAGTAATTCAAAAATTTGTAATTACGTTTAATTTTATTAACTGAATTCATTAAAAAATTACTCACTATTATTTCTGATGTTGTCTTTCATTCGTGTAAATATTTTAATTAATCCACGTAGACTAAATAAACTATTTAGTGTAAAATTGTATAAATAATTTTATTGTATCACAAGATAAAGATATGAAGTAAGGCGCAATATCAATTATCAGATAAATATACATTGAAATAAATTTAATTTTTAATATTCATCATTTGTGAAGACACAAAATGTCTTTATATATTATACATATATATAAATCGATACATTATACATATATAAAAATGTATATATTATATACATTTATAATATACTCGCGCTTGACAGAAGAATAACGAAATACCTTCTTTTATTTAACTAATAATAGAAGGTACATAAATACATAAATGATTGTTGTATTTCATTGTTACGTTACTCATTATTCTATTATTATTTTATTTTCTATTTTTTTACTATTCTAGAAAATAAGTCAACAAACACATGCCAATATTATTGGAAATCATTTCGATTTCTCAGAAGAGTACGACATTTGAATCAGGTGTTTCGGTTCTTAAAGATTCTTACGTGGACTTAAAGTTAATGATTGGAGAATAGGCCTGAACTAGAACATTTAGTCAGCAGTCAAATTACTTAAATCTTTTATAGATATTTTCAAAAAATTACAGAGTTTTTAGATAAACCCTTATGTCGACCAGAAATAAAGCTTAGAATATAAAACCGAATTCCGTATAGGTACTGCCTACAATAGATTATAAGATTATAAGATAAAGTGTTGGGTCGGTCTGCCCTTAAATTTGCAAAACATCGTTTTTAGTTTAGGTCAATCTTTTACAAACGAAACGGTTATTGACCCCATTACCCCCGATTTAGTTAAAATTTTTGTTTATATGCTTCTTTTTCAAAATAAGAACACCACTATTTTAGCAAAAAATTTATAATATTTTTTCAATATTTTCGTTGAACGTCAAATAGACATCTCAAACTCTTTTTATAATAGAGATTTGAAATTTTGTTTGAGTTATAAATAAATAGAATAAACTTTTCGTAAATGGTGTGAACAATTGGAAATGTTTATATTTGAGAACCAATATCAACCAATACTTTATAAGCAAAAAACTCCAGAACTTTCATTGAAATTTCGATTTTTCTTTTTGATATAAATTCAATATGCAATCACGAAGAGTATTTTCTGAAAACTTAATTAATCGTCCGCATTTGGCTGATTAAGCTACAGATATATGAACTCAATCTTCGAGTAAGCCTAATTTTTTTCTATATTACAGAAATGTAAGGGATATTGGGGTTACTGTTATCATCTATTTTTATCATTTTTATTATTATCATTTTATTTTTTTCTAGGCGATTTGGACCCATAGGATTTTGAGAATTGGCATTGTAGACACATTTTTAAACGGACTTATCTTAAGCTGTATAAATGATAGAAACTTGAAATTTATTTCGTTTTGAAGAGAATTGATTGAACATTTAAGAAATCCTAAAACGTTTCATTTTTATGTAGAAATTAATGATAAATTCAAATCCAAAATAAAAAGAAAATATTTTTGTGTAATTTTTTATGTAAAATTGATATCAAAGTACACCGGTGCGTATGAGTACGGCGTCAGGCGCCTGATAAATTAATTTTTTAAACTCTTCTAAGAACAATCCCACACTGAAAATATTTATTTTTTCAAGTAAAGTAATTAAAAGTAATTTTTTTGAAAATCAACAGTAGACAATCCCAATTCTCAAAATCCTATCGGTCCACAACTCAAGGAAAAAAATTTCAACATTTTTCCCGAGATACGGGTCTTCATATGCTTACTTTATGGAAGGAGTACATAAAAAAAATCAGTTAAAATCGGAGGTGATGAGGTCATTTTTTGCCAAAACCCGTACGGTTTGTAAACTATTGACTCATATGTAGGATGACGTTTAAAAAGTAATATTATAATCAGAAATCAAAACCAATATATAGCAGTGTGACAACTGATGCACCCGTAAACACAGCAAGAAGATAAATTCTATTAATATTTTTCCTTAAAGTTGAGTTATACTTGATGAATCTACTTTGAAAGCGACAAAATACATTCAAATAGACTGATTATCTTTGAATTTAAGTCAATCGCTCCATATATTTTTGACCTTAATACAAAAACCGTAAAAGGTGTCCTGCTTGAAGCCAAATACAAATTGTTATACAATGAATAGAAGAAGTGGTTCCCAGATTAAATACGATTTTTATTCAAAAATTTGTTAACAAAAGACAATCGACATGATTACGCAATACTTTATAACAAATGTCAACTTTCTTTTATGTGATAGGCTTTCTGATCGTAATAGACAAATATTTGTACGATGCGACAAACGTTTTAGAATGGCAGAATAGAATCGCCCATTAATGGTTTGATCGAATCCCTTGCAGGTAATGTGTTGAATCGTAAAGCAGGTTAACATTATTTTCACTTTCGACTTTCCAAACGAGATTCTTTCTGATTTGACTTGCCTGGTACATTCTTCAAGAAGTTTTACACCTCATTTTTGAATCGTATTCAATACACCACGTTTCATCAACAGACACAATGATTTAAAGAAAGTCTACACTCTTTTTGCATTTCCTGATAACGTTCTTCAGATGTTGAATTTTTGATATATTTCAACTTATATATAACAGACCACGTACACACTCTTTGAAAATTGAAGTTTTTGGTCGAAATGCTATAAATCAATATTTTTAAAGTTCTCAGTTCCAAATGAATATACGAGTATATAAATGAAAACTTTTGTCGATCTTAGTTGAATTCATTCACAGTTTTGATGAAATCTCCAGGTATGACCAATTTCGATAGGTCAATATTTTGATCGTCATTTAAGTTTTCACTGACGCTCTTAAACCGCGTACAATACTTATGAAATCATATAATGGTAAAAAATTATAACCATTAGCTTGAATTATCAATGTAATGTTTAAATAATAGTTTTAACAAAACTCAATAATAATTGTTTAATTGATGCTTATTTTAGTATCCTTAACATACTCGTAAGAGGTGTTTCTATAATTTTACATAACATAATCGCATTCGATATTTATACACTTATTCCAACTATGCCTAAATTTATGAGACCTACCCATATAGCAGCTTTCTGGAAGTGGTGAAAAACACTCCTTCACAGCTCTGATTAAATATTCATTTAACGATAATCGATTTACACAGAATAGTTTTTGAAGCGTGAGTGGAGTCGTCTTATATTAAGTGCTTGATAACTTCACTAAATAGATGAAATGGTAATTTTTGTGACAAACGAAATAATTTTAATTATAAAATAGTTGTGAAATTGTTATTATAGTTTTCATTTTTTTAATTCAAAGTTGTTATATAATAGATAATTACTCTGTGAACAAGAACTGAGCTCTGCTAATATGTTTAATATAGTATATCTAAATTTGTGGAAAATTAGATGAATCCACTATCCTAAATTTTTATTAAATGTCGGATATTTTTCCGTAATTCGTAGAATACGGTGGTAACTACCAATCAATTTCATTAGTCCAAATATCTATATATGAACATAAAATTCATAATAATTAAAATATACAATATAAATATATTACTAACATCGGAACTCTATCATTCAATATGGTTAATAATAAATAAAATAGTTGCAGCAAACCGATTAACAAATTCATACATATATCATAAAACTTATCGTACACCATATCATATATACCATACACAGCAGTTATAATTTTCATTAAGTCTAATTCAAAGTTTGCATATAAGGTCACTTTTCCGTGAAGAAGAACTGTTCTTTTTAATGTAATATAATTAATCAAAATTCCTACTTGTCGAATTTTTCTTTAAACTTATCCGTACGTAAAGTTCAGGAAATAATTTCTTTGCTCATAATATGGTACATATACCTATGTGTGTAACTGTGAATGTAAAATCCAATCCATCGCATTTATTATATCATTACTTTCCCTCTAATTAGTTCTAATTTTTTGAGTTCTCGTAAGCGTTGCTTAAATATTCTGGTGAATGTAGTACGTCAATCCTCTCCAATTTGAAAAAAGGCTTGGGTAATATGCCACAGATCTAACGCAGTATTTGATTTGTGTTAACCAAACCTAAAGATTTGTTAATTGTTGTTATTTTGTGCAGGAATAATGAACTTTTTGGACTATTTTTAAAACAAACGCATACACTACAGCTATACAAAATCAATTAACTATTATTATTGTTGTTTTGATACTTCAACACATTTTTGAAGGGCTTATAAAAGTTATAAAATGATGTAATGAAATGAATAATGAATTTATTCAGAAAATAAATAAACTCAAAGAGTATGGTAAATATGAAGTCTTCAGATTTTCTGTTTCGTTATAGGTGTGTCGAAATAATGAGGAAAACGTTTTATCAGTTTGGTAGTACCAATAGTTTTGCATGTGGAAAATATTAGCACTTACGACATTAATTTTAATGAAATAATCAGTATTTCATCTTACGTTCTCAAACAGTAAACTGATTTAATTTGTTAAATATTTTAAAGAATGCTCATAAGTCTGGAAGAATTGTTTCGTGTCATCTTTTTCTTTAAATCATTAAGTTAACACATGACCATTCTAAGATACAAAATTTCTTACCAATTTCCGTAGAGTCAACAAACTATTCGGATTAAGGTGTATAAATAACTTTATTGTATCGCATAAATATGAAATGATGTCTGAACATTGGAAATTGGAATTTTTTTTATTATTTATTCAATTGCGCATAGTTAAAAATAAAAACTAATTGCCAATATTTTTACATCGGGGACTTAAAGTAATCGATATTAGTCCCTATCTGTAATATGACAGTATAATGATTAATCACGGATTTTCCATATAAAAGTTAATCTCGTTTTAGTCGAAATTAATTTTTAATTTCCTTAGAAATGGTGATTATTTTTCTGTGCAACTCTCCAAATGTCTTAAAATCGTAGATTTTGCGTATGTTTTTCTTATTGTCCAAAACTCCAGTTTTTTGAAGCTTTATCATTGTCACATTGTCACAGCTTCGTGCAAGGGTTACAAAGCTGTGCCTTCAGTATATTGTTTGGAGACAATACCCGGTGGCTAGTCACTGAAAATTAGCATCGTAGATATACTTAGTCCTACTCTTCTCTGAAAAGTGATGGTTTATCTTATCCACATATAATAATCTGGAGCGATCATTGAATATTTAACTTTCAGTAAATTGAATATTCTAACATTAAACCACAGATATGCAAATTTACTTAATGTTTCTAAATTAATATTTTTTTTAATTTTATTTCTAATCTATTGATTGTAAGAAATATTCCTGCATACTTGTTTCCTTTTAATTAAAATCTTATTTTTTATTGTATGTTCGAATTGAAAATTATAATTATATTTTTACTATTAGTTGGGCTGTTGTGGCACTTTCAGTTCCAGTGACTGGGAAGATATATCCGAAAACAAAACATTACCAGCATCTTGCTGTGAAGTTATAATACTCAATGAAGCTGAAGAATGCACCGCGGTACATGCCAACAAGGAAGGATGCCTACCAACATTATTGGCATTACTGGATTCAAAAACCTTAATATTGGCGGGCGTAGTATTGTGTGTGGCTGGAATACAGGTGAGTACAAGAAGTAAGGTGAGTAATTAAGAACTTCTTGTCCTATATTAAATAATTAAATTTTCATTTTGCAGTTGCTCACTATTATATTTGCCTGTTGCCTTTATGGTCAGTTTCGGAGTCGCTACCAGGGTGTTTAGCTTGCTTAGTAAAGATCCTATGAATCGCATTTTGAATATATTGCTCAAGGATTTTGAATTAGTCGAAAAAATATTGTGAAGTCATAAACGCTAAAAATTTATTAATTTTCTGAAAGTAGAATATTTGCCTAACTTTTATTTGAATTAAATTGAAAAGGTAAATCTCTGTAATTATATAGTAGCATAAATTTTTTATTGATATATAATATATAACAATATTTTGTATATCCCAACTTCTTACTCTTTTTATAAATAATTTTGTAAAAAAAAGTATTGGTGATATGTAATGAATTTTGTAGTTTAAATACACTATATGTGTTTTTGGCCAATCATATTTAATTTTATTATTATATATGCATATATTAATTTTTTATATTATCATATTTAACGAAATTTTTTTTATATTTATATAGTAATTGGTTTTGTTAAACGTTAAGTGTTAATCTTAATACACTCGTTTACTTACAAATTGGATTTATGGAAACATTTTGATTGATTTTAGTACTTTATTGATATTATAAAAGTTGAAGTAATAGCATTTTTGATAAGTGTTTAAAATAATGTAGAACATCATATCAAAACAAAAAGATATATACAATATACATAGTTTATATATTTAAAAAATAATGAATATGTAATGTATTATTAAGTACTGATTGACAAATGTTGATTATTTGAAACCTTTTGTACGGCACTGAATCTTCATAAATAAAAAGGTCATATCTTTCATAATTCAATTTTAATTAAAAATTTATTTATTTCATTAGTATTATAAATTTTTTTTAATAATTAAATGTTTTAATGACCAAAAGAAATTTTTTTTAAAAATAATTATTTCACCAGCTGACCAATTAGCCCGTGAAATAATTATTTTTAAATAAATTTTTTTTTTATTTATTCAATTGCACCTAGTTAAAAATAAAAACTAATTGGAAATATTTTTACATCGGGGACTAAAAATAGTCAATATTAATCCTTATCTGTAATATTATTATATAGTATAATGATTAATATTTAATTTAATTAGTTAAATAAGGCGGTTTGATTTTCTTAAACCATCGTACGAGGTCTTCTGTTTGAAGGAGTGATAAAGCTTCTGTGTAGCAGTGAACTTTCAAGTCTTTTTATATGTGCTTCAGCCTGAAGCGTGATTATATCAGCACCTTCCGGAGCATCCAAGTCACGATGAAGTTCACTGTTACGGACATACCATGGAGCATTGAAAATTGGTCTTAGGATGTTGTTTTGATATCGTTGGATTATCTGTCTATTTGACTCAATGTGCAACCCCAGAGTTGCGATCCGTAGGCCCAAATTGGATGTAGTACCTGCTTGTATATTATTAGCTTGTTTTCGATTGACATAATGGAGTGTCATCCCAATAGTCACTTAACTGAGTCGAATTTAAGATTTAGTTCATCAATATACAGAGGCACATTTCTAATTTGGGTATATGTGAACACAACATGTACAATTTGCAATATATTTAATTTTATCCATTTATCCATTTTATCCATTTCCATTTATAAGCGCACTCCAGTACGTGTTTGAGAGCGACTTGAAGGTTCCTTGCTGCAATTGTTTCGGTATCTTTTACGGAGAGAAGAGTCGTATCATCTGCAAAAGTTGCAATTGTTGTATTATTAACACTTATTATATCGTGCGTATACAAAAGATATAGTAACGATCCATGAATGTTACCCAGTGGAACATGGGTACGCCCGCTTTTATTGGACATATATCCGAATATATGTCTTCGCATTTAATTCTGAAATATCTTTCAGAAAGATACGATTCAAAATATATTGTGTACTCTATTGGCACGTTCGTTCTTATTTTATGTATCAGACCTCTGTGCCACACTTTAACATGTGTGGTTTCGCTGTCTCGGCCTGTGATACGTCAAGACAGCAGAGAGCAGAGCATACGATTTTCTTTTCAAAGAATTCTTCGATAATATTTGTTATTCTGTGAATCTGTGAATCTGGTCAATTGTAGAATGATGATTTCTAAAGCCAAATTGGTGAATTAGTATAACATTGTTTTCTGATATGACAGGGTGTATTCTTTTTAAAATTGCTATCTCGAGTATCTTCGACATAATTGGTAATAGTGATATAGGCCTTTATGATGAGACCTCGTGCGCTGGTTTTTTCGGCTTTAAGATCATAATTACCTACAACATTTTCCACATAATTGATATATGTTTTAATTGAAGTGCAGTGTTGAGTATTTGCGTTAACTTATATATACATTTGACAGACACCTGACGCAACATTTCAGTAGTAACCATATCAAATCTAGCCTATTTTTTTTAATTTAAGTTCAGAATTAATAATAATAAGTTTTGTAAGTTCTAATTCAGATACGTGTGGAATTTCATTATATATCAGTGAGAAAGGAGGATCTACAGAGAGAGAGTACCAATATGATTGCTATCGCTAATTTCGTTTGTAAAAATGTAAGCCTAATATTCGCAAATTGCATTAGATTTGTCGCCCAGTAGCTATCATCCTTGGCCCAGTAGCTATGGTTAGTTTGAATAGACGAATAGATTTTGTATGACAGGGAAAACCACAGGAAATAAGTACTGTTTTTATCGTAAGTAAAATTACTAAGGTATACCTTAAGAGACTCATTTTTAAAAAGCTTGATTTGCGTACTCAAATAATTAGTTAATCTACTTGATTCTATTTTATTAGGTGGATACCT